GGGGTGTCCGGGGCCGGCGGGTGGCGCCCGCCGGGCGGGGTGGGGGCAGGTCGCGCTTAACGGTCGTCGCCGTGAGGCGGCTTCGCGGTGCGGGGGGAGAAGATACACACACACATAAAAAAATAAACAAACAAATAAACAAATATATGGAGACCGTAGTCTGGGGTTCCCTCCCACAGCGGCTGCGAACAGGGGTGCTCGCCCGGTTCCCGCTCCCCAGCCAGGCCAAGGGGTTGTTCAGAAACCGGGGCCACGGGTGCGTGGGGCGCCCACGTCGTCGCGTTTGCTGCCCAGATGCCGTTCGGTTTAAGGCCTCGCGGTCCTCAAGTGCTGGGCGTTGGGCATTTAAATCCTCCTCAGAAGTGTACTGCTTTTTCTCTTCTCTCTCTCTCTCTTTTTTTTTTCTTATTTTTCCCTCCCGTTTGTCAATGTACCCATCATAGGCAGGGCGTGTTGCCTGATATATCCGGGGAAGAAATGACTTGTTGCTGCTTAAATACCAAAGATCGATATTAGCAACCGAGGTGTTTGGCCGAGTTTCGATTTTGCAGTTAGCAACGGATGATCTGTACAAACGCCAAGATCTCGATCTACAGGACAGAGGCTGCTCAGGATGCCTGTAGAAATGGAGTGTGTATTGAGTAAGGCTTGAGAGGGGGATTGCGGGAAAATGAGTCAAATAAAAAGGATAAAACAAAAACTAACCCCGGCACAATGGAATACTTAAAAAAAAGTAATAGTTAATAGCTGTAGCCAGTACATGAGGGTTATATTTACCTCTCCTTTACATTTTTTTCTTCCTGTAAGCAGTTCTGCAACAGATCAGCTTACACACTAAATCAGACCGAGATAATACAGTCCAGGCATGTTTGAGACACACGGTTGAAAATCCACATTTTCAAATCCCCGGAACAGAATAATATATATATTTTAAAAAGTGTAAAATACAGTTTTTAAAAGCTTGGCTCCTCTTCATAAGTTTGTACTGTATCACACTCAAAAATACGAAGAGGAGTTTAGAATTGAAGCTTGCTAGTATTTATTTCTATTTCTAGTATTTATTTCTATTTCTAGTATTTATTCTAGTATTCATGAAAGCCTTGTGATGAAACAGTATTTTATCACAGAGAAGGGAGGGAGGGGTTATAGAATAAAAGGAGTCATATGGAAATAAAACTGCAAAACCATTGCAGAAGTGTTTAGGTGGCAGAGTATCAATGTGTTCTAGTTCCTTTAATCCAAGTTCCCTCTGAGTCCAGACAAAACCCATGGGTTTAAATTCTGTGATTTCTCAAAGCTCTGAAAGTGAGGAAATTCAAGGAGGAACACATGTCCAGAGCTGAATTCTGCAAGTTTCTCATTGTATTTTATGTGGAAGAACCCCCTAAACAGACACTGGAAAAACTTTTCCATTTGGTCTGGACTTTACGCATGTTGTTGTTTGGCACTTGAACACTAGTTATTTGTTCACATACACCATAAATAATGGCTAGAAACTTAACCTGAAAGTAGGCTGTTAAAGCTTCTGGAAGAGCTTATTTCTCTTTCCTTCCCCTACCCCCTTAAGACTTTCTTTTTTTTTTTTTTCCCTTGTGGGATTTGTTTGCAATCTGCTAGATGAGGCTCGAGGCCTGTTTGCCAGATCTAGGGCCGCATCATCGCTCGGCACATCTGGAAGTGGTTTATGGGCTCCCATTCCTTCGGTGCAGCGTCTGGGCTCCGAGCTGCGCCTCTGCAGCAGGGAAAGAAAAGAAAACCAGCACAACTTCCAAAGTAAACTTTGAAAAGTTTGAGAAAGGAGCTGGATTTTTAGAGTGCCACGGTGCCCAGTAAGGCCCTTGTGCAGGGTGCCGTGAAGGAGGACGATGGGCGAGGAAGCTCTGGCAAGCAAGCTGACAGCTGTGGCCCACCTAGGATCTGAGTAAATAGCTCCACAGCTCTTCAGGAGAGAGAGAGAGAAGTCTTGAACACTGTGCTGCCTTGAAGAGGTAAAGAGACTAATTAAGCAGGAAATATCTGAGGAGTAATGTCACTGTTTCTGAGCTTTCCCTTCTGCAGCCCCTCATCTTGTTGCAGCGTTTGGCAACGGAGTTAGGGATTGCCAGGTGCCAGGAGCAGGGGGAAAAATGGGGAAGTGCTTGCAGAGGAACAAATATTCTACTGTTTCCCTAAAAAATCAGTGAGTAATGCTTCTGATCTACTGAGACTTAGGAACTTTTTTGTTTTAGAACTTACCGTTTTGCTGTATTAGAGTCTTTCTGGATTTGGATCTTAGATGTTAAAGTGTGGTGTGATATTTGTTGGTTTAATCGCCTCTGAAAATACCCTGAAGCTCTCACCAGGCAAGTTTCCTCTTGCAGTGGCCATCAGTTTTACTTGTGGTTATCCTTGCAAATGTTAATAAAGAGACTATACACTGAAATAAGTGAGTAATTGCTGTTAGCCTAAGTGAGGTTAAATGATTACTCCAAGAGTATAAGGGTTTCTTTTGTTATCTCAATGAGTAAACTCTTTAAACATGTAAGAAGACAGTACTTTTATGGGACATGAGAGAAGGATTTTTTTTCAAAACAGTTCTTTTGACCAATACCCTGATTTCCTGTTTATGCATATTAATGCCACATGAACAGAAGGGGATACTGGCACGTAGAGAAGTACTGCAGATGTGAGAAGAATTTCTCTCAAAAATAGCCTCCTTCTCACTCTGATCACTCAGTCATCCTTTCAGTCATCTTTGAGAACACTTGAATAGATGCAAATATAAGTGCTTTGTAAACAAAGTCACATCTTAGCTCTGTGGTATTTTTTTGTCATTTAACTGGTTAGAGAAAGTGGAGACTGATTTAGGATAGTCCCTAAGTTTAAGCACTAACCAATGAGACTGAGTCATTTTTTTGTGACTCAGCTTTCAAGAATTTTCGCTGCTGTACTCTTGCTGATTTGTTAATGAGGAATCAGAATAAACCTTATATATGCCTGGGATTGGCAATATATGCTTATCTGTGTATGAAAACACTGGAAAAAATTGTAGCACTGAAGCATAGACTACACTGGTCCCCTCCCTCCAGAAAAAAAAAAAAATCTTTTTTTCTATTCATTAGCTTCTCACAAATCTCTAGCTTTTCCTGCAGCTTCAGTTCAGCTTCTTAGTTTTTTTTTTTTTTTTTTTTAAATTGTGAAGGTGAGAACATCAAAGAAATTCTGCTGAAACCAACTCTGCTCCCAACTGTGAATTTCCTTCATTGCTGCAGTCCAGAGGCAAGAAAAAGGCAAGGAAAAGGGTACTGAGGAGGCCGGACTGGCTAAACCTGCAAACTGAGTATAACCAGGGAAGTCTAGGGCGAGAGAAGGGCCATGGTCTTGTCTGGTGTAAACAAGTACACAGCTGTGGGAGCATTTGCAGCTGGGTCAGTCTGAGAACTCCTTCCTGCTGCAAATGTTTGCATCTTCCATCATCTGCTTTGTGTTTCTGCTAAAATTATCTTTAAAGCTGAGGGAATATTTAGATTACTGGGAATGATACAACACATTGGTGGCACTTGTACAATCAGCTGAATCCTTGATTTTGGAACAGATTCTCAGTCAGGTTTCTTCTCTTTGCCAAAGGGCAAAAAGGAAACATTAATGTTTGCTTCCAGTAAATGTTGTGGTTTTCCATAATTCTGTGGTTTAGGTACTATGTTAGTTCCTTTAAGGCATAAAGTCCCTTTTTTTTAGAAGTACAGTTTTAGGGAAGGCTACCTAGTTTTCATCAGTATCACAAATAATGTGCTTAAATTATAGCCACTTTACGTAAACTCTCCTCTTACCGATACTTTTGTTTGAACGAGGCTACTGTTAGAAAACCTTTTTACTATTGCTCTGAAATTTTCTTACATCCTGAAAGACACTGCTCTAATGGGAGATTTTTTGAATATCCCTCATGAGATGTAGTATTTGTGATTGTTTTTAGGGGGAGATCAGGCATAAATGTAAACATATTAAAATACTCACAGACTAAGTTTGTAAGTAATTCTTTGTACATTGTTTTAATTGTTTTAATTGTTTTTTGATCTTTGTTATTACGGATCTAGGTGATTGTACTGAATTTATTAAAAAGCTATTCATTTCAACATATTAAGTAGCTTAAATTAAAATATATTATGACTGTGGTCTGGAATATTAGAGTTATTTATTCCTAGAATATTATTTACAGAGTTGGAGTTCAGTTCTTTTACCGAGTCAACAGTAAAATTTCATGATGCAAAACCATGTCCCTGAAATAATTAACTAGTTTTCACTGCTGGTATTCATAACTTTGTTCTCCTTCCTTCCCTTTTTCTTTTCTTTTTACCACAGATCACAGTTCATATCCAAAAGAACAGATGGCTCTTCTGAAGAAAAGTAAGAAGATTAAAAACATTTAAAATACTCATTGAGCTCATATATTTTTGAAACAGGACATAGATGTCATGTGTAATTTCTCTTAAAACTTCTGTAATAGTTACATGCAAATTTATAGCTCTAGTTCTGCATAATTTTGCTTAACCTTAAGTATACTGATAAACCTTCTCCTGTTAAACAGTTGACCAGATAAATGTGACTAAAAAATCCATTAATTTCAGATTACTCACTGCTTTAGTGCAGGAGGCATACAGATGCTTCATTGGCTAACTAACTCTTCTGTTGTTTATGGACAAGTATGTGCCTTCAATTATGCACCCAAATCCTTACTGAGGTTAATGCCAGACTCCTCAGCTGATTCACATCTCACTGTAGTGATGCATATATAAATATTTCAATTTGTTCTCATGGCCGTGTCTGGCTAATTGGCCCTTTTGAGTCCAATGATTCAAAACGTTGTCCCTTTGTTCTTTTGCACACTTTAAATGTGTTTATGCTGGTAAAGAAGTAACAAAGTGGTCAGAAGGAAAGCACCAAAGTAACTGACAACAATGACAATGTGTTCCTTACCTGACCTCCTCTCTGAGCTGTCCTGATTCATACTCTTGTTTGACCTCAGCTTGTACAGCATAGTCTGGCAGGAACTGCAAATTGTGATATACAGTGAGAATTTTTCTTTTTTGCATGTTTTGATTTTTGCTACTTAAAGCGCTTTTGTCAAAGTGTGTATGTGTTCCTAAATATTCTGGAACATGCCTACTTCCAGTGGCATGTGGGATTTATTGTTGTCAAATTTTTCTTGAATATGCGTCTGAATGTTGAAATCAACTACATATTTTTTTTTTAGCAGTTGAAGATTTATCAAGGAAGTGTGTGAGACAGAGAGGGCTAGGTAAAAATAGTTTTTGAAGTCTCTTGGTGATAGACAACAAAGTAGCCAAGAGAAGAAAGTTCGAGGTGCCTAATAATAATCACAAACATGTACACTTCTTGGTATGGATAGCCCTTATGTATTGGATGCTTATTGATTTAGCAAGCGAGTGATCCTTGAATTACATATCTATAAATAATTGCAGTAGAGGAGAGATACTGCTCTGTTTCTAAGTACACCTTACAAGAATTTTACATTTTTAAGGTATGATCAAATATTAAGTGGTAGGTGAATTTGATTAAAAACAGTAAATAGGGAATATGGTATCTAGCAGCTGCATGCTTATAAAAATATGTCTTTGGGGGCAGTTAGTGCTCAACTCTTACACAGATTATTAATGAATTCTCCCTTTTGCTTCAGTTAACCAGATCTTACTGTTACTTCTTGTTTTAACTGTGTGCGCCATTCTGTATAACAGAGTTCACAAAGTGCCATCTTCACTAAAGAATGGAACAGGTAAATAACTTTCATTTCGTTTATGTTCTTATGCTGTATTCCTTACTGCTTCATCCGAGTAGTGGGTGGTTCTTAAGAATTAATGTTTGCCTAGCAGTAGCTGGGTTACTTATGCTGTTGCAAGTGCGTTGGGATGCAGAACTTGATTAGAATATTCATAGTAATGACTAAGAAGAGCCATTCTGATTCTTTTTCTTTCTTTCTTTTTTTTTTTTTTTAATTCATCTGTCACTGATGTAAATGGAAGCTGTGTTGAACACTAGTGGAATTTCCAAGTGATAACAAAAATTGACCAGAACTTGCCCCCTTGTGAATGTGGTTGGACTATCAGTTCATTTCAGATAGATTGTCAAGCCTCAACATAATCTACAGCAGAGGTTTTACAGGAACATCTATAGTTACAGAAATCTGTTAGAGTTGGGGTACAGTTGGACTACTATGCAACATTATATGAGCAGCCTATTCTCTGTTCCAAATTTTAGTTTTTCATTTTGTTTATAAATATTTTTATTCCATTATAGTTTTGTGGTGGCTATTATGAGGTTAACGGTCCTGCTTCAATCTGTACAGATCTATCCATGTTAGCTCTATACTTTGATCACTGTTAGAGGAAAAATCTTCCTTAGCATTAATGTGAACTGTTACCAGTACTGTTTCCAGAGACTTTTTCCATTCTATCATTAGCAGCTTCCTGTTAGTACAAGTGTTTGCACTGTTTCTGTCTGTCCTGCTTCCCAAAGCAGTGAAGCTCATGCAGTTGTGTTATGTTCTCTACTTACCTCTTTCCCCTAGCAGTTTTGGAACCTACTTTTCACTTTAAATATAATTGGCTGAGAAGTAGATGTCTCAAAGGTATTGCAACTCCTACAGGTTTAAGATAAATAAGCAGCTCCATGGAGGACAGACTGATTTGCTCACCCTTCATGAGGAAAACATTCAGAGAACTGAGTTGTTACATACTCTGGAGGCATCCGTCTGTCCAGTCAGCATGCATGTGCCTCTGGATTAATGGTCTGTCTTTCCAGGTGGGGATGGAAAGTGGTAAGGAAATGGGCTAGTTCTGATATGATTCCACTGGTTATGGAACTTCATACTCATTCATATGACCCATATTTATATATCATACAAGAAGGTGCTTAATTCTCTATAATAATGTGTAATTTTGTTGCTCATAGTTGATTTGGAGAGTCCTGAGGAAATGGAGGAAGAAATTCCGGTTGTAATCTGTGCTGCTGCGGGCAGAATGGGCGCAGCTATGGCAGCCATCAGCAGCATCTACAGCAACAGCGAGGCGAACGTTTTGTTCTATGTGGTTGGCCTGAAGAACAGCATCCCGCACATCCGGTACATACACTGCCTCCCGCTGGCCTTAGGACCAGGCTCTTGTTCTCCTTAGGAGAGGCATGCAGAGGTCCGAGGGCTTTTCAGGAAAATATTTCTTCCTTTTTTTGGAGTAGTGCTATTGATAGCTGTCCCCAGGGTCCCCTACATCTTGAGGTGCTGACTGGCGTAAAGGGACATGCCCATACCTATGTCTCTCTGCCATCTGTAGTGCAGTGGCAGAAGAGAAAGCCTGTAGAAAGATGATGGTGTGTCCAAGCCTTTTTGTGACAGTCCTGCTTTGTGGCTCTGCATTTATCCCTTACCTGGAGCACTGCCTTAAATTTAGGAGCAAAAAAGCCTGCTGCCTAAAGCTAATCCAAGGCAAGAGGGAGTGGTACAAATATACAAATAGAGGCCCAAAGTAACTGGTAATAAAAACATCTTTGAGTGTTAAAATTTGAAAATGGAGTCTAGAGTCTCCCTTCTCTAGAGAGAAGGAAGGTGTGAATCAAAATGAAAGCAGAGTCAGCCTTCCTGAGTTCTCACCTCTGACTTACTGCGCATATATGGGCCTTGTACCCACAGTTTCAGTATCAAAATGAAAAGAGGTAACAAGTGGGGTGCCACAGAGAGCTTTTCCAGTCTAGTTTGTTAATAACTTGGATAACAGAGTGGAGAATGTACTCTATGAATCCACAGTCACCTCCATGAAGCTGGAGAGAGTGCAGGTATATTGAAGAACAGGATAAGAGCTGAAATCTCTCCTGTAATGAGATGGAAAAATGAGCTGAAAAACATGTTGAAATTCAGTAATTTTAGGTAGGAGTAGCTGATTGTATTGGCTCGGGGTGAAGAAGGAGTTCAGTAATAGTTCTTTAAATGAGAAGTTTTTTAAAAACTATGACATTATGACTGATTGCAGAAGTGATTACAGTGATGAAAAAAAAGGCAAAAGCATATAAATGTGAACGTATATCTGAGGATTTTTTTTTAATCTTGACTATCAGCACATCAGCAAAAGTATGACATTTAGCTTTGTGTGTCTTCTTTCAGGAAAGAAAGAAGGAAAGAAGTCTCTCTTGGACAGAGAACAACAAATAATTATGTGAATAAATTTGTGAAGAAATTGAGCTTGCTTAATCTAAAGGAAATAAGGTTTAGAGGTGATTTGGCACCCATTTTCAAGGACCGTGCAAAAGAGAGAAAGCTTACTTGCACAGGAGAAAGGTTAAAAAGAAAATGGACTTCAGTTGTAGCAGGAAAGGTTATGAAAACAGTATTTAATGTTAGGGATGGTGAAGGATGGGTTAATTGGACGATATGTGCAGTCTCTGTTTTGGGTGTCTTTTTCTTTTTTATTTCTTTTTAAGAGCATATTAAATGAATGTCCGTGTGCAGTAGCTTTAAACATAATTGATTCTGTTTTGGGGTGGGATAGATCAAGTGAGCTTCCAAGGTCCGCTATTATCTTATGAGCCAGTGAATTTAATACTACAAGTGCTTGCCACACAATGTAATATTCTTTTATTGCTTCTTTTCTGTCACAGAAAATGGATTGAAAATTCTAAATTGAAAGAGATAAAATTTAAGATTGTGGAATTCAACCCAATGGTACTAAAAGGAAAAATCAGACAAGATGCATCACGCCCTGAGCTATTGCAGCCTGTGAGTAAGCAGACACCACTTAAAAATTTTACAGGGTTTTAATGCTCATTACAGGCTTTAAAATGTCCCAGATCTCCATTCCATTCTAGAGGAGAGTTGTGACCCCAGAGAAGACCCTATTAGTTCTGGATGCTGAGCCCTTGCTCAAAAGGAAAAAGTGTACTGTAGCAAACTCCCTGCAACTTGTCTGTCTCTTTGGTAGCATAAATGTGGTGTTTTTAATGTATTGTGACTTTAAGTGTATATTCATAGTTTGTCAGAAGAAAGATCTGCAAACGTGCTTTGTGCCTCCATGATGCTAAGCTGACTGCATTCTGCAGCTCTGTAGGATTAATTCAGAGGGAAAATACTGATCTAAATATTATTGACTGTCTGTAACCACTGTGGACTGATAGGATCAAGAATGTTTAGCATCCAAGGAAGCTGCAGTAGAGAACAGAAAAAGGCAAATCACCTGTCACAAACTTTTAGGAAGGGAATTGAGAACTAAAAAGAGAACTTTGTTTTGCCACAATATAAATTCATGGTTTGCCCCTGCCCTGAATACTACGTGCCATTTTAGTCTCCTTTCTTCAAAAGGATACAGTACTCCTGGAAAAGGCTCAAATCTGTTAAGGTTTAGATTCATTATCCTTTTCTGAACTTCTGCGTATCAAGTATATGGAAAAATATTCTGTACAAGGAATGACTGATTGGGTTAAAACTTTTCAGCCTGGAAATATGACTCTGAGCTCACAAAATAAGAGGTCCACAGAACTGAATGACATAGAAGTGTGAATAGGGGATGATTGCTCACTGTCTCTTACAATACAAAAGCTAACAGCCATTACATTAGTAGGAGTCACATTCACAACAACTGAGGCATGTTGCATGTTTTTTGTGCAATCTGTAGAGCTTCCTGATTAAAGACCCTGTGAATGTAAAAAAAAAAAAAGTATATAGATTCACTGCGGACTGAGGTTTTCATTCAGTCAGACCACATCTGTTTTGAGAAATGCCTTGATCTGAAAATAGATGAAAATTATGAGAGTACTTGCAGCAACTTTTCTCTGTGCTTCCGCTGCGCTTAGTTTTCTCTGAGCATCTGCCAAGGGCTACAGGTACTGAGTAAAATGGCCTGAATGAGTATGGTTGTTCTTATCCTCCTTGTCCCCTTTCCCTCTGCTATTCTTATTGCAGACTTTGCTATTTCACCTCTGTACCACCAGTCAAATCATTCCTCTAGAGTAGAGTGATTACTGTGTTCATTTTGAAGTGTTTTGTATGAAATACATCACAAAAAGAAAAAAAAAAGAACAATTGCATTGGGCTACTTAGTAAGGGTCATAGTAAATATAATAGTAAATAATAATGGACTCAAGATATCGTTAAACTGAGGGGGGTGGAAGCAAGTGATGGTTCACTAGTACTCAAAGAGAGAAAGCAAAACGGTATGTGAATGTAATGACAAAAGAAGCTTGAGATTACTGCATTAAACTGCTTCACCATTTAGTCCTGACTTTTTTTTTTTTTGGCTTTATAGCTGAACTTTGTTCGATTTTACCTCCCCTTGCTTATCCAGAAACACGAGAAAGTCATATACTTGGATGATGATGTCATTGTGCAAGGTAAGATGTCATCCAAAAAAAGTTTCCAACAGAATTAAAATAAAAATTAAGCAGTTTACAGTTACTTGGAAATATCAGATATAATAGAAACTGAGGCAATTTCTAGGAGCACGTGAATTATCTGTTTGTTTAAAGGAAATTCCGAGGAATATTGTTGTCTCCAAATAGCTTTTAAATGTTTGATTTTGATCAAAATGGTATGTATGGGCTTTCATATAGAAATAATTGCATTTATAATTGAATTTAGTCAATTGCTGAGAGATATAAGAGATTTTACAAAGAGGCTATTTATCATTAAATGCATGACTTGGTTTTCCTGTTATACCTGAACTTCTGCAAATGCCAGCAGTGCGTTATCCAGAATAGCTGTTTATTCCTGAGAGCAAGAGGAGTTCACTCAAATAAGAGAGTTAAAATTATGAATCCTGAACATGTGATTTTGAGTATCTTCAGCTCACACTCCATAGCAACTTGCAGAATTCCCATCAAAGATTTCGGAATTCTCTATGCAAGTGAGAGCAGTCAGAAGACATGGAAATCTTCAAAAATCATTTTGTTTCCATAGAAAATAATCTAATTAGAGGCACAGTCATTTTTAAAGATGAATTTCTTTCTTTTTTCTTTCCCTCAGCTTTCTTTCTCAGCGTATTTTCATACTTCTCTGGAGAGCCATTGTCTTCCCTTGTTTTATCATGTTGCTTTAGCTCACTTGTTTTGTTCTTTTTTTTATAACATCCTTTAATGATGGCAAACACAAGCATTTTACACGTGCTTGTTAAACCTTAAAATGGGATTCCAGTGAAAATTTGTTTTGATAAGAAATGAGGATAAGTAAAATAAACTTTTTGGCCTCAATCAATCTTTACTTAATAACATTAAGATCGGTGAAATAATGCTGAAAACAAATCTTACTTTGTTCTCCACAACTTTTCTGCAGCTTTCCATAGTTTTATCTCTTTAGTGGCAGTTTTCAGCACATTGCACTTAAAGGGGCTGCCATTATCTGCTTGATAAAATTTGTTTAAACTACTTTGCCTCATCTTGTTTTCATTTATGCTAAACTTCATCATACAATGTCTTCAACATGGAGTTTTGGGGAGAATAAAATGAACTTCGTTTATATATGTATGTTTGTTTCCAGTGCTCACCTTGACTTTTTGCTTCTATTATTCTGACTGCCAACAGTGGATAACAGCAATATTTAACTCTCTAAGAAAAAATTTTTAAGGTCTTTGCTTATACTGTGATTTCCCAAGCACTTAAACCTCCCCCAGCATCCTCTCCTCCTGCACTGACCTTCGCTAGAAATGTAGTTGCTTTTCATCCAGATTAGTTCCCTGGTAGGATTTCACTGCTTGTGTAGAGGGGTTGGACTGGTTGATCTCTAAAGTTCCCTTCCGCCCTTAATCACTCTGTAATTCAAATCAGACTTTCAGCACAAAAGAAATGGGTGGTTGGGAGCAGAGGGAAGCAGAGACTTCCCTTTGAGGGTGTCACCTTATATCGGTGGGTGGCGGGGGCTTGGCAAGCCCCAGGCTAGAGGTGCAGTCTCAGCAGTGTTGGGGCAGGCTGCTGCTCACGGAAGGGCTCCCTCTGCTCCCCAGGCAGCCCCTGTCGCCTCCCTTGTGCCGCCTCTTGTGCAGCTGCAGAGTAAAGCTGATTCAGCTGCCTCACCTGGCAGAACATGGATGCATCAAATACTGATGATAATATCTGAAGATAGTATATTTATATATTTGTTTGTTTGTTTGTTTTCCTCTGCTTCAGCCAGCCTAAGCCCTGCCCTGGTCCACCCCCCAGGGCCTAGCAGAAAGGGATGAAGCTGAGTGTGGGAGGGTAGAGGCAGAGGGAGGGCACCTCTGTTTCCACAGTGGCTCCCCTTGTAGGATCTGTAACACAAGACTGCTCTCTATCATCAGATACATGTGGAAGTGAAAGGGAGATATGAGTTTTGACCTAGTAAGGAGTGAATGTGATTATGTGATTCTCATATTTTAACTCTGAGACTTTTTTTTTTTTTTGGTCAATTGCTTTTTCCAAAGCAGTGACAATTAAAAATACTAAATCCCAGTCTTTTATGTATGTTCATGTTTTTCTCTTTTCTTGTAATTTATATTTTGAAAAGCAGAAGCTGCTTAGAATCAGGATGAAATAAATACCTATTAAGGTATGTCAATCTTGAACTATAAATAAGCATCCCATTAATGTTTTTTGGAGGGACAAGAATCCTATCTGGAGATTTTTAGCTAGCTGGAGTGGATGATTAAATATTCTCTGCTTGTTTCAGAAATAGCATTTCCAGTATTTGCAGTGTGGGAGATATTTCTTGTTACTTTCCAGACTTCCAGAGTCCTTTATTGAGGTTTTCCAGTGACAGCAGCTTTACTTTATTGTGGCCTAGATATGGGAGTGCTCAGCTCATGCTCGTGGGCCATGTGTAGCCTTCTAAGATGATTAATTTCACTTGTGACCCAAAACGGGGAAGAGCAGTGATGATGGCTGCACATGCCCTTAGTTGCTGGAGCAGCTCAGTGGCAGCACTATCCTTTCCACATGTTTTCTCTCACAAAGTTTCCCTCACATCATGGCTATATGCTAGTCGGATGATGAGGAAGGTGACACATGCCATATGTCTCCCTGCATCATCTGCAAGGAGCTGGGTGGCCTGCCAAGCTGGAAGGGGATGGTCCCGTGTGGCAGGAGCGTTTCAACTGCCCGAGGCTTATTTGTCAGTGCTGGGAATCCAGCTATCTCGATGGGAGGTGCAGGCACAACAGCATTGGGAAAAAAGGCTGGTCTATGCAGGAGGCTCTGCTGTATTGCAAAATTCAGCCTTCATTGATACCCAGGTATCCTCTAAAATGGATAGGTTTGTAAGTAACATGGGAAAGGGGAAGTTATCCTAACCGTGTAGCCATGAAACAGGTTTATTCTTATGCTTTTGACTTTCCTGTCATCAGGTGACATCCAAGAACTCTACGACACTAAGTTAGCTCCTGGACATGCTGCTGCTTTCTCAGATGACTGTGATCTGCCTTCTACACATGAAATGGTTAGAAGTGTAGGGATGCAGGTAAAACATCATTTTGAAAGTCTAATCATGACTAAATTTACCCACACACGTAACAGTTCTGCACATTTTCTCCAAAGTGAGAAGTTTAACTTTTGGGGATACATATGTAATGGTTTTACAGGTAGTTAAGAAGAAATACTTCTCTAACAATTCTGGAATAATACCATGCTATGCAGAATTGTTTCCTGTGATAGTTTAAAGCTTGATTGCTCTTGGATTCTACTACATTATGTTTGGTATTTTACTAAATCCATTTTGCTGTCAGAAGATCATAAGCATTTATGCAATGTCTAGTGAAGTCACTGTATGGTATTTGTATGAGTCAAATTAATAGGAAATTATAGGCCTCACCTCAGTCACTAGAAAAAAATGATGGAACAGGTCATTCTGGATACCATCTCTAAGCATGTGAAGGATAAGAAAGTGGTAAGAGTAGTCAGGGTGCATTTCCCAAAGGGAAATGATGCTTAATAAATCTGATAGTCTTCTGTGGTGGGGTAGCTGCCTGGGTAGATGAGTAGTGGAATTTGCCTGCCTTGACTTCAGCAAAGCTTTCGACACTGTCTCCCATAACATCCTCAGGGGAAGCTCAGGAAGTGTGGGTTAGATGAGCGGACAGTGAGGTGGACTGAGGGCTGCCTGAAAGGCAGAACTCAGAGGGTGAGGCCACATGTGCAGTACTGCGTCCAGTTTTGGATCACCAGGACAAGAGAGAGACATTGCTACTGGAGAGAGTCCAGCAAAAGGCTGCTAAGATGATAAAGGGACTAGAGACTCTCTCATTTCTTACTAATGTGTGTAAGTATCTGGAGGAAGGGTGTAGAGAGGATGAGGCCAAACTCTTTTCAGCAGTGCCCGGTGACAAGATAAACAGCAAACTGAAACACAGAATTTCTGTCTGAGCATGAGTAAAAACTTCTCTAGGGTGAGGGTGACAGAGCACTGGAACAGGTTGCCCAGAGGAGTTGTGGAGTCTTCCTTGAAGAAATTCAAAAGCCACTTGGACACGATCCTTGAAAACGTGTTCAGAGTGACCCTGTCTGAGACAGGGGAGTTGAACTAGATGATCTCCAGAGGTCCCTGCCAATCTCAAGCATTCTGTGGTTCAGAAAAATTTGCACTGAACCTCAGGAAAATAGTGTCCGAAGGCGAATTCCTGAGTAGAATTCTACAGAATTGTCTTTGAGTTCCCATGCAAGTGGGATGCCACATCATGTAGAGTAAGCTACAGAAGGGCAAAAATGTGGTGGGGAAACAGCCCTGTCCAACCCTTGTGGATCAGTACTGTGGAAAAAGTAACACAGTCACTAGGAGTATCCTGTCTTTCAGCTTGTGTCTTGTAAGGAATTCAAGACAGGTACTCAGCACCCAGAAAAACAAATCTGGTACCTCATACTTAGTCTCTGTGTATGAGTGGCACATAGATACATCTACTCCTATCTGTATAGATATCAAGAGGGGATAAATATGTATTTTTTTTCTTTCAAGAACACATACATGGGATTTCTGGACTACAGAAAGCAAGCCATTAGAGATCTTGGCATCAGCCCCAGCACCTGCTCCTTTAATCCTGGAGTAATTGTTGCTAACATGACTGAATGGAAGCATCAACGAATTACAAAGCAGTTGGAAAAGTGGATGCAAAGAAATGTGGAGTATGTATAGGAATCTAGCTTTGTAGTTTAACAATACTTTCAGAACACAGTTTGCAATCTTTTTTTTTTTTGGTTGTTGTTTTTTTAATTCTTAAGTTAGTAACTCTAAACAATCTTTCACCGAGAGATCACAAAGCAAAGAAACTTATGCTCCAGAATGCTCATCTGAGCCAGCCCATGCTGTAGTGACCAGCTGGAATTCAGCCTTGCGCTCAGGCACAAGGCACTCGCACTCACGGTTCCTACTGCGGGTGAGCAGCCCTGCGTGGGGTTGTGCTCCCCACGCTCTTCCCTTCCCCAAGCTGCTTTAGAGAGGACGGGATGTTCCCATGTGTCTGTGTGGGGGCCCTCCTATTGCAAGGCTGGCTGAACTCTAATCGGGCATTACATTTCTTAAATATCAGCAGAAAATGCTTCTTTCTCCATAGTTGGGCCAGAATGGACATAAAACGTGTTTTTTGGCATTGACCATGGATAGGTCATGAAAACAATGGAACAATCACTGTTCATTTTTATATCAGTTCTCTGCCAAACCATATTCAAAATCTGACATTTACTTTCTTTGCCTGCATAGGATTAAGCTTAAGTTTAGTAAAGCTGAATTGAAACTGAACAGCTTGTGTTTTTGGATTACATCCATTTGTTGTTTTTACAAATGCACGAAGGGAGGAAGACACAAAAAATCTATATGTGAATGACAAGACAGATGCTTTTCTCTCACTCTGCTTGTATGGCATATCCTGTTTTGCTTTTTTATATTTTTAAAACCATCCATGAATACTACTGTATTGTATCTAGAAAGATTATTTGTTTTAGAGATTCTTTTGTTTTAAGCTGGCTTTTCAAACTACAGTGGAGAGAGTTGCTCAATGAGTAGTCGAAACGTGTTTTTTTGAGAGGAGATTATGCCTTTTTATGTTGCATCCTCTAAGCCTTTCTCAGCTTCTGCCCATGTTTCCTCATTGTTGGATTAGGCTGTGTTTGATAGCAATGAGCTATCAAACTGGAGCTGAAAAGCTGAAAAATACCAGTACTTAGTAGCATTAGAAAGGGTTATGCTGAAAAGCAGTGTGTTCATTTTGAATTTTGCCAGAGCATTTATGAGCGTCTGATTTTATACTAAAAAAAATATGTTTGATTGTGGCTTTTTTGACATTTCTTCTTCTTCCCTTTGCAGGGAGAATCTGTACAGCAGCACCCTTGGTGGGGGTGTAGCCACCTCCCCAATGCTGATTGTATTTTATGGGAAACATTCCACTATTAATCCCATGTGGCACATAAGGCATCTGGGTAAGTTTAACTTTCCAGCATTTGCCATCAGCACTAAATAAAGTGAGAGGTGCTAAGGTTCCAGTAGAGAACTTTACATTACTATAATTCAGTATGTTACCTCGCAGCTCAGACCCACAGTCTGCAATCTGTGCTTCTTTCTTTTCTTCTGATACTCTTATGTTCTTCAGTGTAGTGCACAATGTGGATGGGGACTGTTATGCAAATAGCTTTAGCAGTCGAGTAAACTATGTGGTTGCACGCCTGCAAGGAAATACCTAATAGTCCTGTAATTGGATTAAAAAAAGGAAAAGAAAAAAAGAGAAATTACTAGGACAAAATTGAGACTGATACTGGACACTTTTTCAGTCGACAGTGTGAAAGACTATGGGATCCCTGGGATGGTGGCAGTAGTTAGTCAGGAGGTGGTATCTACCTGGAAAATTTATCTGATTTGTTTTATTAAAATTAATATTAGGCTTTGTTAAAACTAATGTGAGGATTTTTTTTAAGCCCCAGCTATGCTAAAATGCTGAAATGTTAAAAATTAATGACACCTTATATTTCTAATTGAGGAAAAAAAAGACATGAAATTGAAAAAAAAGCCACTTTACCATACACTTTATTGTCTATACTAGTAATAAACCATACTAATTAGTTCACAAGTTGGATTTTTCTTTTTTCCTTTTAACATGACTATGTAGTGTCTTCCACTATTGAAATAGTACTTTTGTGTACCCCTGCAGGCTGGAGTCCTGATACTCGCTATTCAGAGCATTTTCTTCAAGAAGCTAAATTACTTCACTGGAATGGAAGATACAAACCTTGGGACTATCCCAGTGTTCACACCGATCTCTGGGAAAACTGGTTTATTCCTGACCCCTCAGGGAAGTTCAAATTAACTCGTCCTGAGAGCTGATACTGGAAACTGGTTAACAGTTTCATAAACCATAGGGTGCAGGATGTGGTAATCAGTGATACAACCTCTCAAATTGCTTTATTAATTGATTAAAAAAAAAAAAAGCATTTGTTAAATAGTGCTATAAGTGGCGATCAGTTTATATGTGCTTATGGGTGCAGCAATAGCTACGCACTTAGCTCTTCACTCTTGACTTTCAAGTAAGGTGAAGAAACAAATATACTTGATACAGAAGTACTTTCATTAAACATTTACAGAGGTGAAAGTCAGTACCAGACATGATGTGTTTCAATGCAAGGCCTTTCTAAATATGATTAGTACCTACTGCTGTGTAGAAAAGCCTACACGGGAAATACTTGCAGCATTACATATGAGCTGTATTTAGTCCTCTTGCCCCCATTAGGCAGCAAGATTGAAATTTAGGCATCATTTCTACTAAGTGGAGTTCTCTTGCCTGCAGGTTGTTTTTCAGCATTGTGTCTGTCTGCACCCTGGGGCAGTCGGACAGTGTCATACAGACCCTGTGATGTCCACACATCACTGCTACCCAGGTGCGGAATTACACTCTAACACACGGCACTACAATTCCTGATTTTATTGGCAATCATTTGTAGATTTAAGACAGATTAAGAACCTCTGCATTATCGTAAAGGGAAGAGCACCAATTCTGAGAGTACACACAGAATTAAAATATTTAGTGAAACTGTCATTGTACACTTAACTATACTTTATATACATAGATAGCCCAGTAGGTGTCTCTCTTAAAAGAGACCTTTCCCTTCAAAATAAAAAAGGAAAAAAAAAAAAAGCCCACCTTACAGTAGTTATATACTACTGTGTTACCTACTCAGCAGTGCTAGTTACATGATTTTAACTTTGTTGAAAAATAAAATAGAGTTGTAGCAAATCCCTGATACAAGATACTTCGAGCACCTGCAGGAAAATGTCCATGTAAACAGTGATACATCATACAGTACACCTTAAATAATAGACAAGACAAATCCTATACTTTTTTGACAACATACTGAACAGCTTTAGGCTGAAGCTAATAAACACAGTCAAACTCATAATGCACACTTCCTTGATTTAAGACGCTCAGAATTAAGCCACATAATTTGGGAAGAAAACTGTAAACATCATAACTGCCTCACACCAGGCTGACAGTGTGTGCCCCCAGTGACAGTTGCTGCAGCAGGCTTAGAATCTACTCTGACTGGCTACACTCACTGGGCTTCAACAGTCAGTGGCTGTGAGGAAAGGATAAAAACACTGGTACAGAAATCTCTGACCAGCCTGGATTGTGGAGATACTGCTTGTATCTATTTTTCAAGTATGTGAAGCACCTACTCTCATAAGTTCATCAAAACAACAAAGTTTTGATCAGCTTATTGCTTTTACTTCATCTCTTCCTTATACATTAGAGGAGGGAAGAATGATGATGATGATGATGAGGCACAAGCATGGAACCTCTTCTTTCTCGGTCACACACTGGCCACATCAAAGAGTGTGTATTTTAAAGAAGAAAGCTGTAATTTCCAGAGTTGCCTTCTCATTCGTGGAACAGCTGCACTTACCTTTAAGTTAATCTTTTGCTTCTAAGGGCAGTAAAAAGACCCGCTGAGGTCTCCACATTAAGAATTGCTAAACTGCATTTTTTTCACTGTATGCTAATTGTAAGATATACAATTTTTGCTTAATTTATATGGCAGATATAAATAACTGTACATAGACTTTACAGAGAATGTGGTGTTTCAGGTCCCTGCAATAAAATCTCTTCCAAAGGGTTTTCTCCTCATAACAGTGTTGCTAGCAATAGGTAAGGTGAAGGGACTAATCACATCAAAAAGGCTGGGAATTTAAATGCCACAGAATTCAAGAACCACTTTTGTTTGTTTGTTTTGCTTTAAAAATTCCAGTTCCTTACGTCGGAATTTAAGGGGCAAGAAACGGAGGGGTAGGGAAACCTGAAATTAAGACAGCTCAGCTAGAATATTTAGGTCCTAAATTTTCCTCCCCAATCTTGGATCTTGAGAAGATGATGTCCCTTAGTCCTGATGTGCTACAGCCACTAAACAGACAGATTTCTATTCCGGCCTCTAAAATACTCAGCCTTCCCACCTGCAGGACACAACCTTCTGCATTATTTAAGAAGGTAACAACAGGCAGACTTAAAAACACTGCTTAAGTCTGCATGATTAAAAACATCACTTCATGCAAGACCAAGGTATTCTTCCCCTTCTCCCCTCTCTGGATATAAAAGGATTATGAGATATCCAAATATACGATGCATCAGTAAAAAGTGTAACCACCGCTGGTACTACTACATTACAAGTTACAGAATAAAATTATCGCCCCAAGGGAATCTTCACAAATGAGAAAACAGTTTGTAAAGAACCGCAAGAAAGGACATACATTAAATATAAAACTCATATACAAAAAAAAAAAAGCTATTTTTTTTTTAAAAAAGGTTGGACACTTTCTTAAAATTATCTAATTCATTGATTTAAGCCTACCACACACATTTAGTTTTGACTATAATAAAATAACTAGGGGAGATAAAATACTATTAAAATGCTTCAGTTTGGAGAATCAAGGTACCAATCTTGATCACTGCATTAAAACTGCAGCATGTATGCATAGCCAAGAAGAAACAGCAATTAGGCACTGCTTCCTTCTTGTTCCTGTGTCATTCCAGCACTGAATTCTGGAATCTGGTCTGCAAACGACTGTGTCATCCACTGTCCATTGGGAACTTCACCAAAGGATGACCCCTCACAGTACTGTGGATTGCTTGCTGCTGAAAACAAAACATATAGGTTAAAATGCAGGTGATATCTTTAACTAAAATAGGAAAAGACTTTGCAGTTTCCATCCTTCCCTATTTTTGACCACCTACTTAGACTGAGTGCAAACATTTCTTTTTGTTCTCTACTTTTGTAGAGCCAGATAATTTCATTAATTATAAATTCTGAAAATCCTCAGTGAAGGGTGACTGCATATATTTGAACATAATCAGATAAATAAGTCCTTTTTTTTTTTAAATAATACTTTACTCTGCAGTGCTCTCTATGAATATTTTTTTCCTTCTAGAAGGGACACTTTTTAATGAAGAAGGGTAGACAGAATGCAAATTTCAATTATTTCAATTAATCAGTGAGGTTAGAATTTAAGATTCAAGACATCAGACTGATGTGGCAGTTGCACTTTCCTGCATTATTATTTATCTTTTTTTAATTGCAGTTGGGAATTTTACTTCCAAAATACAATTATGTTCTTAATTGCAGCTAGAATTCTAGACTACTTCTTCATTCCGTTCCTTTCTGTTTCTAATTTACTTTCTTTTTTCCCCTCCAAACTTATCAGAATTAAAAAACCACCCCTCCTACCATGCTTCTTTCAAGTACTTGCAAGGACTTTCGTCAAGTACAGACTGATAAAACTACGAAGAGCCAAAGCTTATTGCTCTCTTACTGCCCCCTCACTAAAAGATGCAGGGCACCACACTGTGTTGCATGTTCTGGGTTTGTGTCGCAGTTGCTGCTGTTTTAAACTTTCACACTTCAGACAAAATTGTTGAATTTGTCTTCAGATTATTCACAGCATAAAAAAGCTAGCAAACACTATTTGGGTTACAGCATTGCCATACACTCCTCCCTTACCTGCCCTGCTAGTGAAACAACAACTTCAATTCTACTGTGATGTTTCCTGTTCCATTATTCTCTGATTTTACGTTCATTAGCAAAGAAAATATTGAAGCAGCAACTATCAGTTTTGTTCTGAACAGCACCACACATTTATGCAAAACTCACTGTAATCAAAAACGGTTACTCTTTAAGTCACTAATTCTATCTGTTTGTCAGATTTCAGGAAGCTACCTGAAAGTCTGAATTTGGGAATCAAAAGTCTGAAGGTGCAAACAATTTATATATATCTGAAGTGGCTTCTTCATATTTCCCTCTCCCAAAAGGCTATGAATTCCCTCAATTATGTAATAGTTTAAATACTGCTATAGTTTAAATATTTTGTTCAAATTATAGAAGTTGCCGAGAGGGCAGAAAACTAAGTGGACGTCCATATATAACGCAGGTTTACAGACTGAATGACCTTTACCAGTTCCATTTGAAGAGAAATTGCACTGTTCATTTTCATATATTGCACGATCGCAGTAAGCTCCTCCATATGCTGCTTCATAGCCTGGATCATATTTTTCTTCTTTGACAGCCATCTTTTTAGCATCCTCTGCACAAAGAAGAGATCTCAAGTATTAATATTTTGAAGAAAAATACCCAGGAACATTTTTATCAGAGAATCCTTAATAAAAACAAAACGCCACATATTTTAATTCTATTCAAAGGATAATTCTGGTTCCTCTTAGACAACCAGGACTGTATTAAGCAGAGCATGGAATATCGTTATATACACCACATGATTTAGGGTAGATGGGACATACTTTCTTTTTGTCCTTAAATTCTTTAATTCCTTTTACTCAAGCAAATGCTAGAGCAATGCTATGTGTGTTGTACAACATTAAGAAAGGATTAATGAAACAATCACTATACCTTGTGCAAGCTGCAAGTCAAATGTGTACTGCACCTCCTGCACCTCTGTGTTTGGTGCAATGCCTTTCAATTGATCCCTTAAGTCTTTCAGCTTTATGTAATAATGAACTTTATCTTGAGCACGAGGAAACTGAGCACATCTTGCACTGGATGACGGCATAACATAGCAGAGCTGGAGGCAAAGAGCAAGAAAAGCAGCACTATAAGCCCCTGAACTACCAACAAATATTTAATGCATTGAGAAAAACTTCACAGTTAAGCTCATGTTATCTTAGAAAACATCAATTAAGGCTCATAGTAATTGTGGGAGGGACTAAAGGAAGCTTTACAGCATCTTGCCCTACAGATAGAGGTTGATACCAACTGCTGATGCTATGACAATTTTTACCGCTTGTTGGAGATTTATAAAACAGATTAAACAAACCTGTTTGGGATGATTTAGACATCTTCAGATACCTTCTAGTACTAGATGTCTGTGCTGAATGCACAGACTCCTGAATGCAAGGAGCTGTCTTAAAGATGTGCCTGAAAATTGTTCAGTCCCACTTTATACTTTGGGCAAACTCTGCCTTTGCTGCAAGTGGGTGCAAGTCCTGAGATTGAATTAGTCTTGAAATGACCAAAATGAGAGCACTGTTTTTGTTCCCACACATCAATACTTACAGTTTCTGTATCTGGCACCTTGTGTGGCTGCAATCCAAATTCCAATTTCTTAATTTTTATTCCAAAAACTTCTTTACTGAAAATTTCATAAATACCTAAAATGAAATGAACATAGAGTAAATGGACAGAAAAAATAATTGTCAGACCAAATTCATTCAAATTTAAGGTTCTTACATTTTCCATTAAAAGCTGCTATACGAGGTTTATACTTTTGCAATTTCTGCACCAGAATTCGCCCTCCTTCCCGAAACTCTTTGCTAAAAGAGAAAATAATAAATAGTACTCAAAATTACAACTCAAACCACAACTATTACTTGATTAACAAGTGTGATATTTTCCTCTGTTATCCTACCTGGAGAGGTCTTTGCTTCCAGGTGTTGTCCTTTCTACCATGTTTGTAAATCCAATCCCATATTTATGTGGTAAAGTATGGTCATCCATATGGTTCAGCTGTTCATTACTTAGACCAGACATGAAGAGACACTTCCCTGTGAAGTGGCAACAGATGCATTTTTTTTTTTTAAATATGCTGCCAGCCTACAGTACTGGAATGCTAAAGGAAGAGTCTATTTTAAGAGAGCATCAGTTCCTGTGGAAAGATTTTTGCCCCTACCTAGATAAACTAAGTGTGGCTGTTTTAAATTTATGAGAACAGCAAATCCCCACTGAAGAGCAAGAATCAATCACCATGATCCCCTGTAAGGCAAAAAATGTCCAGTATGGAGCTTTACATTTCACAAGTCACACTGAAAGGCAAGGAATGCAATAAATACAAAGAGCAGATTTTTGTTTAACTTTTAGTCCTCAAATTGTACACTGACATGCTAGGAAACTACTGTTTCTGGTTTTGAATCTGGAGATTCTGGTATACTGTGTTTACCTGACAACTCTAAACCTACACTTAAAGTCACTAATCATTCCCCTGTTACTTCATTATTTTAATGTATGCTATATGACAGAAAAAGCTATGAAATTTAAGTCACTCTCAGATGGTTAAAAGCAAAATACCCTTCTTGGAAAACAGCATAATCAAAATGCAACAAGTTCTAAAGGAGTTCTGCAAATCCCATAAAAAGAAAGGAAAACCAAAACCTACAAAAATGGTTTCCAGGTCCAGGATAATGATGTCCTTTGTAAGCTGCCATCAAGCCAGGGTTTATGCCAATCTACAAAGCAAGATATCAGTCCATTTTAATGATGGGAAGATGGCAAAGTGATCAGAAATTTGATCATGTTACTCTAAGCAAAAGTCCTCAATTCTTTTAGATAATGCCAGCAAACGAAACTATGGAAATGATACTCTCCATTGTCAGTTAAAGAATAGAGTCTCAGTTTACATGTGTAATGTCAGAGAAGCAGCTCACAGCATGTTTTACAGTCACTGATGAATGCCTACACTAAAGCAAGTCTTTCATGACTTACTATGATTTTTAACAGAAAATGCAAAGCTGGTGCATACGGGAAAGAGTTTAAATACTTATATGCCAAGAACTTGCAGAATAAAGTGACAGAGATGTTCACAAGCAGCGAGCAGACACTACTCACACTTCTACCTAATCCTTCATCTGTGAGTTACTTACTATTACAATGTCCAGATCAAAGGTCAAAATATCAGGTAAAGTCTTGGTAAGAAGCTCCGCTTCAGATACACCATTAAAACGGTCCACTTTCCTTTTGACTTTAAAAGTATCTGTGATCTTTTCTTGTTTGCCTTTTGATTTGGTTGCTTTTTCTTTTTTAGCAGCAGGTTTTTTGGGTTGCTTTGGCTCAGCTGCTTTGGTTTTTCTTTTCCTTCCTCCTTTTGCAACTGCTGAAACACACAACAAATGCCCCCTTTTTAACATTTCTAATGCTACAGTACAGACATTCATAAAGACTGAATTAGATGTGCGGATACCTGCTAAATACTCATGAATGGAAATAATTATCAGACAAATCTCAATTTTCCAGGGTCAGCACAGAGACAGCTTGAGTATCTCTGCACCGCAGGCAGACGCTGATCACAGACAACTAAAATGCAAACCATTCTTTGAGAGAGTTTTTTATATGAAGGGAAAACACAAGACATGCATCCAACTCAAAGCTGCCAAATGATTTCAAAATGAAGAACATCCTCCTAACTCTCAAGCTGATCAGATATTACAACCAGGCACTTCATTAAAGATTAACTGCCTGACCACAACGCCAGGGTGACCTGTGAGAGGGCAATCCTGAAAGCTTCCAGTCTTTGTCCTTTACATTTGCTCCTGTAAATTTCACAAGCAAGATTTCAAGCCCTGTCTTTGAAGGTCCTGCCACTTTTCAGCTCAGACTGGAGGGAAAAAAAAGGAGACACGCTTTCCTCTCTAGCTTAAATTACTAAATACCATGAAACCAGCTAAAGATATTATTCTTATCTATTAAACTAAAAATCTGTTGTTCTTGGCACAAGATAACTTTCTCAAACTGAACTATCTGAATATTATAAACATATTTAACCTTGCTGATTGGTAACAAATGTTACTAAAAAGAATACATCCTCATACTGAAACTTAAAAGAACATATCCTCATACTGCAATACATAATCTCTCTACATGGAAGGAATACATACTGAATATTTCCTCAAAGAACATCAAGCAAAGGAAATCCAACAGATCTAAAGAGGCAGTATATTAAAACAAGTATATATAAAACAAAACCAAACAAACAAGAAATATGTTTTTTTAGTTCACTTAATATAGTGTGATGAAACTACCTTTAGGAGGTTCCTGAGCCACGTTTGGCTCTGGAACGCCCTCTAGGGTTGGCTGTTCAGTCAGCACTTCCATGTTGGGCACTGCAGTCATCATTGGGTGGAATGGGAATGTATAAAAAGCTTGAATTTGCTGAAGATGTGAGTAATATCTTAGAAAGGCAAAGAAAAAAAAGACAACTCATCAACAGTTTAGAAATCTAATGATGAATCCAGCAGTCTGTAAATACCAATCCCCATCCAGGCTGGCACGTACTCCAAGGACGCTCTCCAATATAGTCTGTTAACAAGTCAGCAAGTTACCCAAATACCTTGAATAATCAGACTGCTGCCTGGCTGGGGGGATGATGTGAAACACAACAGGGACAGCCAACCCTCTTTTAAGTAATAGAAGATACAAAAAAAAAAAAAAAACCCACAAAAACAAAACAAAAAAGGCAACATTGTAAGTATAGCACAGAGCCTTCCCTTACACTGGAAAAACACTTTGTAGAATATGTTAAAAGACAAGCTGTCTGTCAAATGTAGCAACTACGTACAACACAAATGAGTTAAAAACACTTTAGACAAAGATTTTCCAACTTCTAAGCTTTCTTACTGTTGCATCAGTTACTTTACCTGATGTGACACAGAATGGATGTACAGAACAGGACACAAAACACGGAGCAACCATTACCCCACTCTGGATCCCAACACAGGTTCTGTACTTATGCTATAGAAAATCATTCATCCACACAGATCCAGCCTCCTCCCATGCACACAGACATTTTGTCATAGCTAACCTTTCTGCTTTACATATGGACTAGTCATACACAACCAATAGGCACCAACGCAAACTTATATAACCTGCTTCCTGTCCGTAGATATCCCCTGTTATACAAATACATAATTATTTTTCACAAACGCTAAGTTTGCAGGAAATATTTTCATAATCTCAAAGCTATTCATAAACACAACAAATAATGCTGGCTATACATAAGCACCTCGAAGGCACACACCACCTTAGCAATGCGGAGGCATCATTCTTTATTATTCAAGAAGTATTTAAGAATCCTACCATAAATAAGATATATCCCAGAACAGTTCAAACTCTTGTGATCATGTTTCTAACTCCGAACCGAATACCTGCCTTGAATCAAAGAGAATGAGGAACCTGGGAGGCCTAACAAAGCCATGGAGTATTTCCAGAGTATAGGAAATACCCTGGACTCCCCTGCCAGAATTGCTCTGTGCAACTACTGAACCAGAGGGCAAAACTGATTTCCAGATGTGCCCAGCTAAGGAACACAGCTGGGACATACAGAGTCCACTTCATGTTCCGCTAAATGCTCCATTACACAGAGGAGTAAAATGTCTAAAAGGTACTTGTAAGCATAAAATCTAGGAGCAGTCACTAACAGGACAACTTCTTGTATGGAACTGATCAAGTTCCCTTTAAACAGAGGAAAAATTGCGCCGTGTCATCAGACAAGTCCTATAACCATTTGCTGATGAGATCAAAGAGAGCCCTCAGCCTTAACGCTCACATATGCCTCTCTTTTGTTTTTAACTTTTGTTTCAAGAATCGGTTTTCTTGTAGAGATTAAAAAACAAACAAACAAAAAACCACATTTTGCCACAAATGAACACGCTACGGAGCATGTTACAGACCGTTTAAATAGGAACACTTGAATACACACGTTTCAGTTCAACAAAGGAAAAAAAAACCGAAAATGGATTCAAATCCTCAAATTCAATTCAAACTACAAAGGAAAGGAGAGGAAAAGAAAATCAG